AGAAAAATACTTTAAAAAATGTAGTTGAGCGCTTCACTGGCTGGATGATATCAGCCCAGTCACGATTACAGTTTCTAGCGCGCGAAAAAAATCGCAAAATACAAGGGAAATGCAACACCATTAAAAAAAAAGAAGCAAAAACCAACAACGAAGCCAACTCGAAAAAGATAAGGTCGGCGGACTTAACGGTCCCCACGCAGCGTTAGAAAGCACCGCTATCCACATTCTAAGCTATTGCAGACCCAAAATGCACGCTTTACACCATCCGCCGCCTCACTGCTGCACTTCCGTTCTGCCGTGCGCGGAAAAGCTTCTGAATAAACCAAAAACCGATTTAAGCCATTAGAATAAACTCACGCTTACTTGTATATATGGGTAAATCCACGACAAATCGACCAGTGGTTGGAATCGAGATTTTTGATTTGGATGAATTTTGGTTAGAACATTTCTTTTATCCTATAACGAAATTCTGCCAAATGAGAGAAATAATATTTTTTTCGAAAGCTATGTAAAAATTTACAATTTCCGGAATTTTTTGTATTTTTTGAATATCTCGAACATTATTCAAGTTACAAAAATGGTTCTGGGCCCGTTGATATTTGGGACTATAAAAAAAATAATAATTTTATAAATTTCATAAAAATAAAAAAATTTACAGAACTTTTAAATTTAACTTTAAATTTTTTTCGAAATTCGAAAATTCGTAAAAAAACATCTCCCTCAAAAATTCAGGCTCACTTTTTAAGCTCAGTTAGATGTGTTGCCTAAAAAAATGCCAAAAATTTATATAACCTTTTGTTTTACAATTTTCTTAATTTAAAAATTCTGGTGTTTTTTTCCTCTACATTTTTCTTTCCAGAGCCCTAAATAAAATGAAACCAGAACCATTTTTGTAACTATAATGGGTTTTGAATCGAAAATTTTCATCTTTCGAAAGAAAAATTTTTATTAATTTTTTCCTCTGCAGAACTTTTGTATATGCGAGGCCACGCGCTGAATTTGTGCATATGTATGTACACAAAGCCGTATCACGACATATGAAAGAAAAAAATTTAAGCGCGTGTCAGTTTTATTTAAACACCTGTGGCGATAGAAAATTTGGGTGCAAACAAATTTTTTTTAGGAACCCCCTAAAAACCGCTAAATCGCGGTTTTTCCTATAACTTTTTTATTTTATATCCGATTTTTTAAATCTTTATGTCGCTAAAAAGGTCTCGCTCATAACTATAATCGGCCATTAAACAGTTTTGACTTTTAAAAATTTGGCAACCCTACTTTTCATAATACATTATTGAACATCTAGAGGCCAAGTCCTTTCATTTGATATTTGATTAGCGTGGTAAAAAAGTCTCGCCTTTGCTATATACTATGTAAAGAAGAGGTTTGAACGAAATTCAAAAATTGGTCGATTTGACATGGATTAACCCATATATGCATGCATATGTATACATACTACAGTGGCGGTCAAAAATGGATGTATGGTGTTTGGTTTTTAATATTTACATTGTTTTCAAGCTAAAATTTTTTCGTTATTTTTTATAAAAATATGGTTCATACTTTTATAAAACCATACAAATCACACTTTCAAACTTTATAAAGAATTTAGAAAAATTCCACAAATTTTTATCTAACTTTCGAGATTTTTAAACAAAATTTCTATAAATTGTTTGGGTGTGCAGTTAACAGGCTTATAAAATTTTTATTTATTTTTTAATATTGTTTTTTTTTTTTTGATGACGGCGGTTTTCACTTTTTTTCATATAAACATGAATTGCATGTAGAAGAATATGCGCAAGACCATTTGCGAAAAAAATAAAAAAGTCAAATTTTTATCTAAATTTCGAGACTTTTAAACCAAATTTTTATAAATTGTTTGGGTATGCAGTTAACAGGCTTATACATTTTTCATATAAACATGAATTTCTTGTGGAAGAATATGCGCAAGACCGTTTGCGAAAAAAATAAAAAGTCAACGCCAGTTTTCCTAAATTTCGTTATTTATAGCCAAAAAAGGGCAAAAGCCGTGAAAAAAAAATATTAAAAATCAATGCGATTTTGTAGCCGCTCAGAACTTGCACTTATTTTGATAAAACAATTTATAGGCCTAGTCCCAAAAAATTTATAAAAATTCTGGTTAAAAAGCTCGAAATTGAAATAAAAGTTTGTCGAATTTTTGTTAAAGCATGAACCATATTTTTATAAAAAAAAATTTCAAACAAATTTTAGCTTCAAAAACAGTGTAAATATTGAAAAGAAAACAGCATTCATCCATTTTTAACCGCCACTGTATATATACACACTTGTGTATATATGCAAGTGAGAGAGTGAGTAAAAATGGCAAATGACTGCAACTGCAAGCAAGTTTCCAACTGCAAGCAACTTTTATATAACTGAAAACTAACCGGTTAAGTGGGGTCGGGTGGGGTAGAGGTGTGTACTTACACACACCACATGCCTCATGCCACAAGCTGCCACTGTCACGTTGGCAAACTTTGATTGTCAAAGGAATTGCTATGCGAGTGAGTGAAAAATAATGTAAGCAGCGCGAAAGAATTTCACAGCGGGCAGAAGGGAAATGCTGAGAAAGTGGGAGTGTTCGCCAACTACTTTGTAGTGAAATACTGCAGTGATCAAGTAATGCAAAGACCTTTTGGGGTCACCGTCAGTTTCAATGACTTTTGCAAATTCACGGCGACAACAATAGCAACAGCAACAATGACTTATGAAGCTTCAACTCAAAACGATGAAAAAATTCACTATTTGATTGAGCTTACGTTTGCTCGCTTTTATAAAAAAAATAACTGCAGCCATAAATGATTTCGCTGGCAAAAGTGTGTGTGAATATTGTTAGTTTCGTTTGCGTAGTTGTGCGTGTTACTCCCTTCCACTACATAGAAAACACATTTAAGTCCTATTGTTTTTTGATTCCCTTGAATAGGTACACTGGATTTAACACAAATAAAGATCAATCAACAAAAACATACCATGCATTTTAATTCTACTATACAACACTTTTAGTATTTTCTACTCATCCTTAATTCCAATGTATGAAAAAACCCCTATCCGGAAGACAATTCTATGTAGAGGCACTTTGAAAAATCAGGGATATCTCGCTGCTTACTACTTTAATCGTCGGAAAGAAAAACTGCCAACCATCACATGGATTGCCTGACACACAAACTTTGCAAAACATCCAATTCCAAATATTTTCTATTAAGTTTAGGTGCTGTGAATAGGACGAAATCGTGCGAATCGGTGCGTAGCTTTGGTAGCATATTCAAGAAATAGGTATGAAAAATGTAAAAAAAAATTTATTTTATGCTTGTTTTGCATGAATTATACGAATTTTGGAAACTGTAAATATTATATCAACTCCACTGAACTACGAAATCGCAGTTGAGACCGCCATACATACTCTCTTATTGATCATGGAAGGGAACCAAACAACGTTCGTCCTTTCAAAAATCGTGGCAATTATTATTAAATCCGTTGTAGCCATCAAAATCAAACTTTTCGCCAGAAAAAACTAGTTGTCCTTTGATTAGAGTAATCCTTAAGTTGCCTTGTGGTGTCATCAACACCAACGTTTCTCTTTCATTTTGGTCCACTAGTTCTGCAATAATATATATACATATATGTATACATATATGTATGTTTATATATACATATGCAAAATAATGCGTTAGTATAGAAAAAAGTTGATGAATAGTACCTAAAGATGTAATATTTTTCCTTATACCATTTAATAAAAAAAATGTTAATCTGCTGCGATAATTTCGTTATTGCTCCAATTTTTCGAATCATTTACTCCCGAATCGAGTTTCAGTAGTCCGAACGCTGATGCAGATGTTTTGATGTGGAGTCAAATTTATAACTAAAATTGCGAAAATCCGATGCCTTTACTCCACAATGCATCAACATAAATCTATCCATACTATTTCATAAATACCGCTACATTTCAAAATCCAAACAATTTCTTCTCTCCACTTGAAACCAAAAAACGACATCAAAAATACATACGTGCATGCATATAAGGCAGCTGCAAAAAAATTTACATATGTCAAATATATTCTTATAAACGTCTTTGTTATTTAGCGGGTTTTTCTCATTCTTGCGCAACACTCCAGCTCATTTCATTATTCAAAAGACAAGAATATGTATAAATTAGGGCTGTGCGATTAATTGATTACTCAAAATTTTAATTAATCATAAAGTAAATAACTCAATTATTCGATTAATTGGAAATTATGATTACTTAAAAGTTCAGTTACTCGAGTAATCAAGATTTTTGATTAACCAAAAACAAAAATATTTGAGTAAAATGCTTTATGATTAATCAACATTTCGAGTAAAATGAGTAATCAACATTTCAACTCTTTACATATGTATAAAGTAGTTAAAGTTCCTGGATACTTTGAAAACAACGTTTCTGTTTTCAAAAATTAAAACAAAAATTTTTTTTCATATACAGAATGTAAAAAAGAAAATAAGCATTTTCCAAAGCAAACTCTATTAACGAGCAAAATTATTTTTTTTGAGTAATCATATTTCAAGTAACTTGATTAATCATCGTTTTGAGTAATCGAAATCTTGATTACTCGAGTAATTGATTAACCGAATAATTGATTAACCAACTTGCTCGAGTAATCGAATAATCGCACAGCCCTAGTATAAATAAATGTAACCATAATTTCTACCTTTCGACAAAAGCTAATTTGCCTTTTGTCTCCAATATTTGTACCTTATGCATCAGCTCAGAGTAAATATACATATATGTACATACATACTATGTATGTAAGTATGTAAAGTTCTACATTATTGGCTATATAATGTATGTACAAATATACACATGTACATATGTATATGTGTATATGTTTTCACGTCTCCTTGGGTTAGGTACTCGTACTCTCCTTATATGTACTTGTGTATACTTGATAACTAATTTTCTCTGCGCATATCTTTCATTTAATTTTCTTTGTATTTTTCTTCTGTTATTACAGGTTCCTAATATGCCACTGAAAATGCCAACGCATGACGAAAATGGCGGCTCCACTAACACAACCACCACAAATACAAACGCAAATGCCACTACACCCGCCTCAACGACGAATACATTTCGTTCGACGCCAACATCTGTTGCTACAAGCACAGCGATGGCGTCTGGTGGGACAACTGCGTTGACGTTAGCTGCCGCGCCCTCATCGTCCTTGTCGCCATCGCCGTCGCCATCTTCGTCGTCCTCGTCGTCGTTGTCATCATCGTCATCATCGTCGTCGTTGACGTTGGGGTCGTTGTCGTCATCCTTGGCATGTTTGCATCAGCAACGTTTTCTCGATTCGCGGCAATTACATGCACAACCGGTGGATGTGTCGTCGTTGGCGCTAACAAAAGGTAAATTTTAGTTCATTTTTATGTTTTTTCATCTCTCTTATTACTAAAGTAGTTAGTAGTGTAAGAAAGTATATTTTTGTGTTGAGGTAAATTTGTGCGAAAAATTGGATCCTAAGGTAATATACTCATTAAATTGTCGATGAGCTGCGGAATCGATACGAGATGATAAAATATTTGGTCTTAAGAAGTCTACAATAGCTGTACTCTGAGAGTCTTCGACTACTTAAGATTATATCGTCGCTCCCAACGAAGAGTAGCACATCTCAAATTACCGTGGAAGACTAGCACGTTTCACTATTCGCGTCGAAGACTAGCACATTTCATTATTCGCGTCGAAAAGTAGCACATTTCAGATTCTCGCGTGGAAGACTAGCACATTTCACTAATCGCGTGGAAGACTAGCACATTTCAGATTTTTGCGTGGAAGACTAGCAC